GAGAAGACACCTCAGGCTGTCCCCTGCCACCCTTGAAGAGATCTGCTTGGGAGCTTCTCCCTGCTGCTTTCTCCAAGTTGTTTTTTTTTTTTTTTCCCCACCATATTTGGTCTCTTCCAGCAAATTCGAGGCCGGGAAGGGGTGGAGGGGGGGAGGAAAGAGGGACGTGGAGGGATTCACAATGGCCCGAGCGAAGGGACAGAGTGTGCCGGTTGTGCGGCCGCCAGGGCGGAAAAGGCATTTCCTTTGGGGAGGTTGTTTATGTAGAAGGGAAAGCAATTAAGTAAATCCCACGTTGATTGCGTTGGCTGGAAAACGAGGGGACTCAGGGTGGCTCCTGGAAAGCCACCGCGTGTCCCCAAGCTTTGGCTTCTCCTCACCTTTGGCCAGTGTGAGGAATTCGACGGCCCAAAAAATGCCAAAAAAGGGCCACCCGTGATTTCTAGGTTCACAAAAATGAGTGGTGAAGCTGAGAATTCGACGGCCCAAAAAATGCCAAAAAAAGAGCCACCCGTGATTTCTAGGTTCACCAAAACGAGCGGTGAAGCGAAGGGCAGCGTCTCCCTTTCGGTTTCCAAATAAACCCAGCAGTTTTGGGGTGAGGTGGTTGAGGTTTTGGAGGTTGCCTGGTTTGAGGCAGGGAGAGGGCACAGCACCTCTGGGATACAGAGGTTTTTCCAGGGATCTGCCTGGGGTTGGAAAGCTCTCAGGGCAGATCCTTCTTAGGAATTTCCAAAATCAGCTCTTTTTTTGTTTTTTTTGACTGCTTTTATCCGTGGCGATGACTTGTGTCAGCCTGTGTTTCCTGGCATTCTGCAGGCTGTGTACCTGTTTGTGGCCCAAATTGGGGTCCCCTGTCCCCCCTGAACGGGGTGAAGTCCACTCAGGGCTGGGGTGTGAGGATTTTTTTCCCCAGAACCCCAAATTCCCAGCTCCTCCCGAGGAATGCCGTGCGAAATCTCTCCCTGACAGCTGGTTTTTGGGGTTGCTTCACTTCTTTTCTCTTTTTTTTTTTTTTTTTTTTTTTGCAACGGAGGAAAGGTGAAAGCCAAGGCCAAGGGAACGAGGGGCCCATAAACAAGGAGGAATCTGAATTCAGGCTTTGGGGAAGTCTCGTGTTTGTCATCTGCTCCGGGCAGGAAGAACAGGGTTTGCATCAGCTCTGTCCTACAGCTGGGAGAGCGTGACCTCTCCCGGGCTCACCGCGTACAGCACGGTCTGCTCAACCCCCACCTCCTTCAGCCCAGTTTTTCCCTTTCCCCAAGAGCAAATCCAGCTCGTTTCTTCCCCAAAACGATCCACCAGCTCCTCTTCACCCCCGGTGAAGAGGACTTTGAAGTACGTTGTTATGGAAGGAGGGAAAAGTATCATAAAGCGAAAGATTTCCTCCCGCTCCGTCCCGTCGTCCTTTGAAAGGCCCCATGTGCTGGAGAGAGCAAAGAAATAAGGAAAATATCTTATTTTTCAGCAGTCCGAGGCTGGCAGTGTGTGTGTGTGACTGGGGGTAAGGGGATCCTCACCAGAGATGCTCACCCCAAACACCAAGATCCTTAAATTTGAGAATTTAGCTAAAATTGGGGGTGGAGGGGGAATCTTTTCCTAGACCTCCTCCACCCTCACTCGTCTCACGGGCAGAGAGGCCGGATGATGGGACCTCGATGGGAGCGTTGGGTGGTGGTTGGGGGTGAGGACGGGCATCCCCTGGGCTCCGGAGATCTCCGTGGAGTCCTCCAAAGTCATAGAATCATAGAGTTGTCCAGGCCGGAAGGGACCTCCAAAGGCCATCTAGTCCCACCCCCCCGCAGTCAGCAGGGACCCCCCCAACTAGACCAGGTTGCCCAGGGCCTCATCAGGCCTCACTAGGCCTCACCTTGAATATCTCCAGGGAAGGGGCCTCAACCACCTCCCTGGGCAACCTGTCCCAGTGCTCCACCCCCCTCCCAGTGAAGAACCCTCTCCTCATCTCCAGTCTAAAGCTGTTCCCCTCCAGCTTGAAGCCATTGCCCCTCGTCCTGTCACTGCAGCCCTTTCTAAACAGGCTCTCCCCAGCCTTCCTGTAGCCCCCCCTCAGGTACTGGAAGGCTGCTATTAGGTCTCCCCAGAGCCTCCTCTTCTCCAGGCTGAACAACCCCAGCTCCCTCAGCCTGTCCTCGGAGCAGAGGTGCTCCATCCCCCTGATCATCCTTGTGGCCCTCCTCTGGACCCTCTCCATCAGGTCCATGTCCTTCTTCTATTGAGGGCTCCAGCCCTGCACACAAGACTCCAGGTGAGGTCTCACCAGAGCAGAGGAAAGTGGCAGAATCCCCTCTCTGGACCTGCTGGTGGGAAGTCCTTCCCATACTTTGGGTTGTGTGGACATCTAGAGGCCTCGCCAGGAATGGCATGGGAGGGCTTGATTCCGAGCCAATTTCTCCTCTTTTCAGCATTTGAGGGGATTTATTAAAGTGAGAGTGAGTGCTAACCTTCACAAGAAGAAGGAGGGATGGCCGTAAGAGGTTGATGACTATTTGCCACTCCATGAGGACAACGGGAGGTTGGATCTCCAAAGATCCGGCTTCCGTGTTTCTGCTGCCCAAATGCCACTGGTGGCTTCTTTCTTTTATTTTTTATTTTTCCCTTTGATTTGAGATTATTTTTCACGTCAAACAAGGAGGAACATGAGGAAGCCTTCCTCACCGAGACGTGCCCGTTTCAGCCTCTGTCCCCGTTCCCTTTCCTCGCCGCTGACGCTGCTCGAGGCGTTGGCCCTTCCGACCATGAGGAAGCCCAATCTCACCCTGAACTTTGCAGAGGAAGTTCTCGCCTTGGCCTGAACATTTTTGCTAACAAAACACACCGGAATTTGGTCCGGGGAGGGCTTTTAAACCAGTTTTGAAGACCTGCTTCTGGTCTGGAGAGCTCGGGTTGGCAGGTTGGAGGCTTGGAAGCTCTGAAGTACACCCTGATGTGCACCAGGAGCTGGCAACCGTGGCCACCTCCAGTGATGGGGCTGGTTTACGGCACGTGGAAGCAGCTGCTAATGAAGAGGCCTGTTTGGCTACTACACCCCGTGCCCTCAAGGCCTTGGCATTTCCCTGACGACTAGAAATCAGAGCCAGACGGGGTGTGAGAGGAAGAGATTGTCCCGAGCTTCTCACACCTTCCTACAAGACCCGGCGCTGGCTGCCATCAGCAAACCCCAGACCAGGAATTCCCTTGCTCTGACCGCCCAGATTGGGGCATCTGGATGCAAAATACCCCAAATTTAGCTGGCTATTGAAAATGCTGTGTCTTTTTTAGCAGGTGACACACGCTCGGAAACTTCAGGGCTGCATCCAAAAGTCTCCTGACGTCAATGGAAATACTCTTGTTGACATCAGCGGGGCTTGGATCCACGCCTACGTTCCACTTCTTTATTGCAGACTGCAATCTGTCGGGAGTGGAAAGGTCTCTCTTCTCCTTGCAGACTTCCAAAGGTCTCGTTTCCTCCGCCGTCGTCAAGTCGAGGATGCGGAGTACGGGACAATTTGGGGAACAAGCGTAGACCCGTTCAACGCCGCGCACGTTCCTTCCACGTGGCTGGACCCCAGCCAGGCTCCAGCTCAGGTTTAAGCCTCTGCGTGGAGGGTGAAGGAGGTGGTGGCCTCGGCTGTGACGTGCTGTGACTCCCCAAATCCCTGCTCCAACCAGAATCAGAGCTTCGGAACTCCACGAGTGGCACAGGATGGTCCGTCTCGCCTCTTCCAGAGAGTGTTGGCCAAAGGAAGGAGCATCTGGATGATCATAGAATTGTCCAGGCCGGAAGGGACCTCCAAAGGCCATCTAGTCCCACCCCCCCGCAGTCAGCAGGGACACCCCCAACTAGACCAGGTTGCCCAGGGCTTCATCGAGCCTCTCCTTGAATATCTCCAGGGAAGGGGCCTCAACCACCTCCCTGGGCAACCTGTCCCAGTGCTCCACCACCCTCCCAGTGAAGAACCCTCTCCTCATCTCCAGTCTAAAGCTGTTCCCCTCCAGCTTGAAGCCATTGCCCCTCGTCCTGTCACTGCAGCCCTTTCTAAACAGGCTCTCCCCAGCCTTCCTGTAGCCCCCCCTCAGGTACTGGAAGGCTGCTATTAGGTCTCCCTGGAGCCTCCTCTTCTCCAGGCTGAACAACCCCAGCTCCCTCAGCCTGTCCTCGGAGCAGAGCTGCTCCATCCCCCTCATCATCCCCCTGATGATGCTGGTAGTCATATGGAAAGCCCCACTTTCACAGAATCACAGAATGATTTGGGGTTGGAGGGGACCTCTGGAGATCATCTCCTCCCACCCCCAGCCAGAGCAGGGTCACCCAGAGCAGGTCCCACAGGAACGTGTCCAGGTGGGGTTTGAATGTCTCCAGAGAAGGAGACCCCAACACCTCCCTGGGTAGCCTCTGCCAGGGCTCTGCCACCCTCAAAGTCAACAAGTTCCTCCTCATGTTGAGATGGAACTTCTTATATTCAAGTTTGTGCCCATTCCCTCTTGTCCTGTCCCTGGGCACCACTGGAAAAAGCCTGGCCCCATCCTCCTGACCCCCACCCGGGAAGGATTTCAAGGTGTTGATCAGATCCCCCCTCAGCCTTCTCTTCTCCAGACTCAAAAGCCCCAAGTCCCTCACCCTTTCCTCCCAAGAGAGATGCTCCAGGCCCCTCACCATCCTGGACCCTCTCCAGCACTTCCCTGTCCTTCTTGAACCAGGGGGGGAGCCCAGAACTGGCGTTCTTCTTCTTGAACCTTGTTGATTGGCTCCGTTGGCCAAAATCTGAAGGATTCTTAGGTTCTGCATGAAAAAAATCTGCCCACAACCCTGTTCCTGGCAGTTGTGTAGCATCACTCCCTGCTTTAAAGAAGCCTCCTCCCCTCCTTCAGCTCGTGTATATATAGACCACGACACGCTCCCCAGTAAAAGGAGCGGCGGCGGGTGGGAAGGCAAGAGATATTTATTATTATCTTCACCTGCTGCTGCCGACCAAAGCAATAAAGAGACAGATGACAGGAAATGAGGAACTTCAAAAATAGACACCTTTAATGTCAAAACGTTCAGGGATTAGCGAGAGCACTGTACGAGAAAGACAGAGAAACTCTCCTGCCAGTCACCGTCTGCCCTGAGTGCCCGTCGGAGGAGGAAAAAATGCTGAGATATCCAAGAATTTTCCATATTTACTCTTTGTGCCCTCGGCAAAAGAGCCAGGGGGGGAATAAACCTGACCCAAGACACTGCAGATACACTGAGATGTGAACTATAAAACCTCCCTTCTCATCCCGAGGGATCCTCCGTGCCTGGACGCTCTGCAAGTCTCTTTCCCCAAATTGGAGGAATTAATTGGAGGAATCCAAATTTCTCAAGCCCAAAAATCCTGCCTCGGGGCTGCCAGCTCCATCCCTGCCTCCCCGAGGCTTTGCAAGGCTCTTCTTACACCTCCCCGGGGCAGGAATGGCGAAGGTTTTAATGTCAACCCTCTTTATTTTAAAAAAAAAAAAAAAAAAAGTCTTTGCCTATGGAAAATATTTCTTATCATAGACTCTATCTGCTTTACTTAAAACCTCTTAAAATATATTAAACATCTAATTTGGCCTCACCTCGGTGTTTCTGTACATCTGCTGGGAGTTCTCCTGCCCATCGATACCATCGTGGCTTCAATATTAATTCTCTTTATTCAAGGAAAACCCACAACTTCGGGGTGGATCCGAGGGGGGTTGTGACGGTGGCTGGGCTCAAGGGGAGAGGAATATCTGGGGGGGTCTTTGTCCTCCCCGAAACCCAACGCAATTAAATATGTAGAGTCCTAGGCAGGGGACAGGGCAAGAAGGAAAAATAACCTGAAATATCCGAGACCCAACACCTGAGGCTGGAAATCAGCACATTAATGCTCCCGAGAGAGGAGAATATGGTGATTTCCGACCCCAAAAAATATCAAGCCTTGGCCACACCACCCCAAAAACCAACTCATCGCCTCCCGTGTTGGTGGGAGCTGGTGGAGGGGACCCAAATCCACCCAATGACGTGGGTTTTTTTTTTTTGGTGGCTGAAAATTGGGATCTGGGCTTGGAGCCCCTCGTTTCTGACGCTGTGCGGTTCCTGAGTAAAAGTTGGCTGTAGTAACAGCAGGAGAAAGGTGTGAAGGGAGTTTGTGGAAGGGTTTTTGGGGGGCAGAGGGGTTTTCTAAAGTGTCTTCACACCATGTAGTTCTTCTCTTCGATTCGGCCGCGACCTCCTCATCTTTAGAAAAGAAAGGAAACGCATCAAAAATCCAACAGAAAAAAATTGCCATCTGCTTTCGGGCGAGGAACCAGGTGCCCCACGTGGAGGAACAGGGGGTGCAAACCCGTGTCTCGAGGTCTTTTTCTCTCCCCTCTCTCCAGGTCTGAGGCTCTGATTCTTCGTCGCCGCAGAGATCACAGAATCCCAGAATCTTCTAGGTTGGAAGGGACCTTCAAGATCATCTTGTCCAACCGTCAACCCAACTGACAAAACCTACTGACAAAAAGATGTGTGATCCCAGCCGAGACGTCCCTCTTGATCTGCTCGGGATGGACCTGGAGTCAGCATCTCTCTTGGGTTCCCCCTCTGGACTGGTTGGCCATGCCCTCCACCCCTCCGTGCTCTACGCAACACCAGAGGGAGCTAAAAGTGCAAGAAACCAACCCAAAGACCAGTGGTGAGGAGGAGGAGGAGGAGGAAGGAAGAAGAGGCACGTGGGCATCCTCCCCCAGCCTGGAAGATGTGCAGTTTCTCCGCGTTGGGAAGGAAGACCCTGGCGTCCTCCAAGGCCCCGTGAGCCGCCATGGTGAAGTTGGCGTCCCCCGAGGTCACCACGTCGAAGACGCACGACTGGAAGTAGACGTCCTCCACGGGCAACATCTCCTTGCAGAGGGCCCGGGCCACCTCGGCGGCCCCTCGGCCGCGGCAACAGTCGCTGCGGGAGATACGTTGGCTACGGGGGCAACCACCCACGCAGAGCTGCAGGTCCTGCTCCTCCGTGAAGGCGCGGGCCACCTGCTCGGCCGCTCGGATGGAGAAGGAGAGTTGGCGACCGGCCTGACGGACGGCGATGGTGGTGCCGATGTAGTCGGCGCGGATCTCCACGTGTCGGCCGGGGCTACGCTCCCGGATGGCCAAGCTGCTGCCACCCGGTCTCTCCCCGCCGTTGACCGAGCCGTCCTCGAAGGCCGCCGGCAGGTTGTCTATCTCGGCCTGGTAGACCTTCTGGTCGATGCATTCCTTCATGTTCTTGAAGATGATGGTGAGCTGCAGAGAGAAGGTCAGAGGAAGGTTTGGGGGTTTGATCTGACCTCTCCTGTGAGGACAGGCTGAGAGAGTTGAGGGGGGTTCAGCTCTGGGGAGACCTTGGAGCCCCTTCCAGTCCCTCAAGGGGTCCAGGAAAGCTAGGGGGGACTCTGGATCAGGGAGGGGAGCAATGGGACAAGGGGAAAAGGTTTTGAGCTGAAAAATGGGAGATTGAGGTGAAATATTGGGAAGAACTTGTTTATTTGTCCCCGCCGTTGACCGAGCCGTCCTCGAAGGCCGCCGGTAGGTTGTCTATCTCGGCCTGGTAGACCTTCTGGTCGATGCATTCCTTCATGTTCTTGAAGATGATGGTGAGCTGCAGAGAGCAGGTCAAAGTGGGGTTTGGGGGTTTGATCTGACCTCTCCTGTGAGGACAGGCTGAGAGAGTTGGAGGGGTTCAGCCTGGAGAAGAAGAGGCTCCAGGGAGACCTTGGAGCCCCTTCCAGTCCCTCAAGGGGCTCCAGGAAAGCTGGGGGGACTCTTGATTGGGGAGAGGAGCGATGGGACAAGGGGAAAAGGTTTTGAGCTGAAAAATGGGAGATTGAGGTGAAATATTGGGAAGAACTTGTTTATTTGGAGGATGGTGAGAGCCTGGCCCAGGTTGCCCCAGAGAAGCTGTGGCTGCCCCATCCCTGGAGGGGTTCAAGGTCAAGTTGGAGGGGGCTTGGAGCAACCTGGGCTGGTGGGAGGTGTCCATGCCCAGGGCAGGAGGGGAACTGGATGGTCTCTGAGGTCCCTTCCAACCCAAACCATTCTGTGATTCAGCCTGGAGAAGAGAAGGCTCCGGGGAGACCTTGGAGCCCCTTCCAGTCCCTCAAGGGGCTCCAGGAAAGCTGGGGGGAGCGATTCTGAATCAGGGAGGGGAGTGATGGGACAAGGAGGAAGGGTTCTAAGCTGAAAAAGGGGAGATTTAGGTTAGATTTTGGGAAGAGCTTCTTTATTTTGAGGGTGGTGAGAGCCTGGCCCAGGTTGCCCAGAGAAGCTGTGGCTGCCCCATCCCTGGAGGGGTTCAAGGCCAGGTTGGAGGGGGGTTGGAGGAAGATCTGCTGGGAGGTGTCCCTGCCCAAGGAACTGGAGGATCTTTAAGGTCCCTTCCACCCCAAACCATTCCATGATTCTGTGACCTGCAGGGTGTCAGTGGTGGCCGTGTCCCCACCCCAGGTATCAGCTATGGGCAGATGGCACAGGTCTGCGTCACCGATGCGTCCCTCTCTGTCCCCAAACCATCTCCCCCCACATCGCTGCAGTCTTTTTGGGGAAAACACCAACATTTCCTTCATTCCTTCCTCTGTTTCCTTCTTTCTTTAATACCATTTAAGCAACTGGAAGGTGAGATGGAGCCGAGCCTGGGGAGATCCATGCAGCTGGACCACACCGTAACCCATCCCCAACCATGGGAGCATTTGTGGGTCTCTCTGCTCCCCTCAAGGACCTTCATCCCACCGTGTTCCTGCAGATATTCATTCCCCATCCCATGTGGGTTTAATTCAAGCTATTGCTGCCTTCCACAGACATTTTAGGGAATGCCTGGAGCTGTTGTTGCGTTCTGGGGGTGCTGGGGTTTGCTGGGAAGCCCCCCAACACGAGCCTTACCTTGCTGGTGACCGTAGCGTTGGACCCTTTGGCCACCGGCGAGCTGGTCGCTTGCACAAACAAGTAGTCATTGTCCAAGAGGGGCCAAGAACCCTCCACCCGGCACGTGTGGAAGTCATCGTGGAAGGTACGGATGTGGGGGTCCCCGAAAGCGGCGCAGTGCTGGTAACGGGGGGGTTGGCCATGCTTGTAGAGAAAACTCTTCTCGTAGTTGCAGATATCGAGGGACTCCAGGCCTTGGTGGTTGGGGGCTGGAGGCCGGGGCCGGGGTGGGGAGGTGGGACCTTCTTTGGAGCAGTTGTTTTGGATCATGAGGTCCTCGATGCCGTGGACGGCGGAGTGGTAGGCCAGGTCACCCCGGCAGGTGCGGGCCGTTTTGCGGGTGCAGTGGGAGTAGGAGCGGAGGGCGTTGCAGAACGCCGCGCTCCGGCCCGAGCCCCGCAGGTTGAGGGTGGCCGCCACGTACTCCGAGTTGCAGCGCAGGATCTTGCACTGGGAAGAAACTGGGAGGGAAAGAGGGTGACGGCGACGGGACAAGAGGAAACGGGCGCAAACTCGAGTATGAGAAGTTCCACCTAAACACGAGGAGGAACTTCTTTACTGGGAGGGTGGTAGAGCGCTGGAAGAGGCTGCCCAGAGAGGTGGTGGAGTCTTCTTCTCTGGAGACATTCAAAAACCACCTGGATAAGATCCTGTGCAACCTGGTCTAGGTAGACCCACTCCAGTGGGGGGGTTGGACTTGATGGTCTCCAGAAGTTCCTTCCAACCCCATATGACTCTATGATTCTATGAGGTACACCCCCTTCCCCAGGGCATGCTGGTAGAGCTGGAGGAATGAGGAAAATGGGGAGATTCTCCTCCTACCACCTCCCCACTGCTCCAGGTCTCATGATGGAGATGCTTTCTGGAGGCGACTATCACCAGGTTAAATGACCTGCTGTTTAGTGCCTGAGAACAGGTCTCATGATGGAGATGCTTTCTGGAGGCAACTATCACCAGGTTAAATGACCTGCTGTTTAGTGCCTGAAGGGAGTGAATCATAGAATGGTTAGAGTTGGAAGGGACCTTAAAGATCATCTAGTTCCACCAGCCCAGGTTGCTCCACGTCCCATCCAGCCTGGCCTTAAACACTTCCAGGGATGGGGCATCCACAACTTCTCTGGGCAACCTGTTCCAGTGCCTCACCACCCTCACAGCAAAGAATTTCTTCCTAATATTTAATCTAAATCTCCCCTCTTCCAATTAAAAACCGTTACCCCTTGTCCTGTCAACACACAGAGAATCATGGAATGGTTTGGGTGGGAAGGGACCTTAAAGATCATCTAGTTCCACCAGCCCAGGTTGCTCCAAGCCCCCTCCAACCTGGCCTTGAACCCCTCCAGGGATGGGGCAGCCACAGCTTCTCTGGGCATCCTGGGCCAGGCTCTCACCACCCTCAAACTAAGGAATTCCTTCCCAAAATCTAACCTCAATCTCTCCTCTTTCACCTTAAAACCCTCTCTTCTTGTCCCATCGCTCCCCTCCCTCATCAAGAGTCCCCCCCCAGCTTTCCTGGAGCCCCTTGAGGGACTGGAAGGGGCTCCAAGGTCTCCCCCGAGCCTTCTCTTCTCCAGGCTGAATCACAGAATGGTTTGGGTGGGGAGGGACCTTAAAGACCACCCAGTTCCACCCCTGGAGACCTCCCACCAGCCCAGCTTCCTCCAATCCCTGTCCAACCTGGCCTTGAACCCCTCCAGGGATGGGGCAGCCACAGCTTCTCTGGGCAACCTGGGCCAGTGCCGGAGTTTCCTGCTGCCAAAACGGGCTGGAGCCCGGCACGGAGGGAAGTCACGGGCCCAAAGGGTTGTCCTGAAGCAACCGGGACGTGAGACTGGACCTGGGACACGAGGGCTGCCAACAGCAGTTGGGACCGTGGCCCTGGGACGTGGCTCAGAGGGAGATTCTTCACCCCAGAGGAATTTCTGGGAAAGCCCTTCTCCCTGTGTCACCCTTGGCCGGGCTCTTTCCCCTTAGGCTTGGCCTAACGGACCAAGGACGTCCTGCCCCTCCAACGTGATTCCTCCCTGCTCCAGGAGAGCTAACGAGCTCGCCCCAGCTGGGCTCATTTAGCTCATTAAACAGAAGGGTGATAAGAGATGGCTGGACAAGGTTACTGGGAGGAGAATTTGGGCTTTTGTAGGTCCCAGCTCTCCCAGTAGAGTGTCTGGGATGAAAGAAGGAAAGGGAGTGATGGATATGGCTGGTGCCTTTCACTAGGAGACCTTGACTTTGGCTGGTCCCCGTGCCCTGCTGTCCCTGCCCTTATTTTGGGAGATAATAGAGCTTTTAAGGGCTCACCCCAGCTGGGCTCATTTAGCTCATTAAACAGAAGGGTGATAAGAGGTGGCTGGACAAGGTTACTGAGAGGGCAATTTAGGCTTTTGCAGGTCCCAGCTCTCCCAGTAGAGTCTCTGGGATGCAAGAAGGAAAGGGAATGATGGATTTGGCTGGTGCCTTTCACTAGGAGACCTTGACTTTGGCTGGTCCCCGTGCCCTGCTGTCCCTGCCCTTATTTTGGGAGATAATAGAGCTTTTAAGGGCTTTCCTAGGCAAAAGGAGGAGTTTCTCTGCTGGAAGAGAGCAGAGGAACGCTCTCCTTGCTGGGGCTCCCCTGGGAGGAGCTGGTGATGCTGGTGGGAGCTGCTGCCTTCTTCTCCTGAGGACTTTGGTGGCCAAAGGGCCACTCTGAGACTTCCTGAGCCTTGTGGCTACCACCAGAGGATCTTCTGCTCCCTCCGGTCACCTCCCAGCAGCTCTGCCATGGTGGTGCCCTCCCTGCACCCTGGGGTTGCATCTCCTGGGGGTTCCCATGCCAGGGCCGTGGCTCTGCCCATGCAGTTCCTTACCATGCCTGCAGAAGAGGAGGAAGAGGAGGGCTCGGAGGAAGAAGCCAGGGTTTTCCAGCTGCCCTGGGCTCTTACTGCAGGCGGGTTTCCCCATTCCAATCCATGCAGAGCCCGGGGGGTTCCTCACCCGCTGGCTCCTCTCGGCTTCATTCAGCAGGTTCTCCTGGAAGCAAAAAACCCCAGGATCTGGTTTTTAAACTGCTTTCCACCACTGTAGCCCTCGTCTCCTGTCCTGGGTTCAGTGTCTCGAAGAGTTAAAGCTTCCAGCTGCCCTCGGAGAGGATCCCAGAGGATCCCTGAGCTCTGGGGGCTCCAGGGCAGGGATGTAGGGATGCTGCGAGCAGGACCCAACCTGTCCTACATCTCGGGTGCCTCTGGCCTGCTGCTATCCCCACCAAAATTAAGATTTGGAGCACCACATCTGAGGAGGTTGGAGCTGAAAAGCCAAATTTTAAGTGCCACGACATCCACAGCCACGGGGTGACACCGACATCTCCTGCTCCACCCAAAAACTGGTCCAGCTTCCCTCAGAGTTGGGAAACGGGGCTCTTGGTGATATTCTGCCTTTCTTTTCTCCCCCCCCCGGCTGCTTTGGCTGCTCCCTGGGTGCTGGGGGGGCTCGAAGTGGAGCACCAGAAGCTGTGCTCATCCTGACAACGGGCTGTAGAGTTCGGGGAAAAAAAAATGAACTTCATCAGGGCTGAGAATTTGAGTCTTTGGTGGCATTTTTACAGGCGGTTGGGTGTCAGTCGCTTGTCAGTCAGACAGCCCGATGCAAAGGTCTTTTTGAAACAGCTCTGTGTGAAATGGGTAATTTATTTTTTCCTCTCTCCTTTAGCCCCTGTGAGGTGCTGGTGGTTGATGCTTGTGGTGATGGGTTCCCCGAGGAGCTGAGGTTCCCAACATCACGATCGCTGGTAAGTACAAAGCTGTGACCGGGGAGGGAAAAGACTGAATTTTCATCTCAAAAACAAAAAAAAAGGGGGAGAAATCAGTCCCACCAGCTCCGTCTGCCACCTCTCCCCTCCCTTTGCTGTGGCTGCAACCGCCCAACAGCCGTTACTGGTCGTACTGGTGCTGGAGATACATACTGGTGGCCCCCCGTGTCCCCCCACCAGCTGGATTAATGGCAAACTGGGCAGATGTCTGGAGTGAAAAAAACATGCTTCAGACCTGCTGGCGATGCTCTGGCTGCCAGCAGCTCCTGGCAGCGGGGACAAGCTGAGCTGATGGTGACACAGGGAGGGGGACGATGGTCTCCACAGCCCTGGGATGTGGGGAAACGAGACCCAGAACTGGGAATTCGGCTGGGATTGGGTGTGTTGTGCTGGTGAGCAGCTTGTGTGCCCCAATCCTCCTCTGGTGCTCTGTCGTGGAATTATTTTATGATTTGGGTTGGAAGGGACCTTTAAAGGTCACTTAATCCAACCCTCCCTTGATGTCTCGCCCTACCTGGCTTGGCCCTGTTTGACCAGGCTGAGCATCATTTTTGGAGCTCCCAAGAGGTGGTGGCCCCTCGGCGCTACCCACCCAAGTCCCCTGGAGGTGGTGGCATGGAGGGGACCTGGCATGAAGCTTGGTAATTAAACAGCAGGTTAATGAGTAGCAGAGAAGCGTGGCTTTGGCCAGGGCAAGGGAGGGCACTGGCGTGGGTCCCGTGGGCAGCAGGACCTTCTTTAGGACATCCTCACCCCGCTGGAGTCAGGAGAAAGGCAGTAGAAGCTCTTAGAGATGCTCCAAAAGCCCCAGGTGATGCCACCTACGAGGGGAGGTGGATGGTTTCTGGGGGATGGGGACACCCCAGTCCTCTCTTTGGGGACACCTGCAATGGGACCGGACCCTGGAGCACCCCTGGGTGCTGGTGCCAACGTCCTGCTCCTCGGACCCTCATCCCTGCTTTGCTGCAGCCCCACTCACCTGCATCAAGCCTCCTCCGGAGACGAGCCGGGCTCCCAGGGCAGGGAATTCCCTCCTTCCCCGCCGGACACACGGGGCTGGCTTTGTCCTTGTCACCCAGCTCGACCCCAAGTGACAACCAGAGCGATCCAGGGGGTGGCAGCCAGGAAAATGCCAGCCTCAGCCCTGGGCACCTCCATGGCTTCGCAGCCGGATAAAATCCAGGGTGTTGGTGGAGAAAAACCCAGTTGGGGGTGCAGGGAGCAGACCCCACCGGGGGCCAGCACAATCCCTGCTCTTCCTCCCTCCCCAGCTACCTTTGCTCCGTCCTCTTCCCCCCGCGGGGCAGGGGATGGGTGTTGAAATAGATCCGCCTAAATTTAGCCAGGCTAAAACCCAGCCAAGAACAACAAGCGGAGGGGGCAGAGGGAGACAAGTGTGTGCTGAGGGGAGGGCAGAAGGGCCCCAGGAATTGGTGGGAGACCCCAGACCCGGCTGGGTGATGCCACTCGGTGGCGTTGGGGTCATGTCACTCGTGGGGTCATGTCACTCGTGGGGTCGTGTCACTCGTGGGGTCCAGGATGAGCTGCAGGAACTGGCTTCCTTGGAGCTACCGGGTTTTCCTTCCTTGGGGTGATATTGCAACCCCCTTCCTGCCACCCCTGTGGAGTGAATCCCCTGTGATTTTCCCCGGGGAGTGTATTCCCACAGGGAATACTTTTCCAGCCCCCTCTCTCGTGGTTTTCCTTCCTGGGGCACCACAGAGTCCTGAACACAAACACGACGTGGGACAAAGGTGGCCGGTGTCCCCAGGGGTCGATGAACGTGGGGACACACCAGCTGGTTTCCCAAAAGCTCAGCTGGAAAGGGCCTGGGTGCAGAAAGTGGCTGCACAACCCTCCTGATCCTGCTGGGAGGAGAAATGGTGGGGAAATCACAGAATCACAGAATCTTCTAGGTTGGAAGGGACCTTAAAGATCATCTTGTCCAACCGTCAACCTAATTTTGACAAAAATAGACACCCCCACAACAAACAAGGAGCATCATCACTAAACCATCCCTCCCAGCACCACATCAACCCGGCTTTTGAACACCTCCAGGGATGGGGCCTCAACCCCCTCCCTGGGCAGCCCATTCCAAGGGCTGAGAACCCTTTCAGGGAAAAAATTGTTCCTAATATCCAGCCTGAACCTCCCCTGGGGCAACTTGTGGCCGTTTCCTCTCGTCCTGTCGCCTGGGACTTGGGAGAAGAGACCGACCCCCATCTCTCTACACCCTCCTTTCAGGGAGTTGGAGAGAGCAAGAAGGTCTCCCCTCAGCCTCCTCTTCTCCAGGCTGAACACCCCCAGCTCCCTCAGCCTCTCCTCATCAGACTTATTCTCCAGACCCCTCCCCAGCTTTGTTGCCCTTCTCTGGACCCGCTCCAGCCCCTCAATGTCTTTTTTTATGGTAGGGGGCCCAAAACTGGACACAGCACTCGAGGTGAGGCCTCACCAGTGCCCAGTACAGGGGGACAATCACCTCTTGGGCCCTACTCCCCACGCTGTTCCTGATACAGGCCAGGATGCTGGTGGCCACCTTGGCCACCTGGTCACACTGCTGGCTCATCTTCAGCCGACTGTCCACCAACATCCAGGTTCAGGCTTTTCCAGGGGTGCCCTGTCCTTTTAGGATCCCTGGCAGTTCGGGTCGGAGGGCAGGGGTTGAAAACAGGTCCCTCAGTGCCCCCGGCACCCACCAACCCCTTTGGGAACCCGTTTAGAAAAAAGCTTCCCACCTCCTAAACCAGGTTCCTGCTGTTTCCCAGGTCTTGCTCTTCGTGAGGACGCCTCGCAGACCCGCAGCGCCCTCGACGCCTTCGCACCCGGAGCTTCGTCCCAACCTGAGCCCAGGAGAACAGATGGACCTTCACCAAAATTCCCCCAGGTATCCCCCAGAATCGCTCCTGACTTCTCCAATGCACCTCGGGACCAGTTTGGGATGTTTAGGGATGGGGGGCAAATGGGTTTCCCCCCTCTGATCCTCTCCTCTGCTCCTCAGACCCCGGCACAAGCTCTTTGGTGCTTGAACCCCCAGCCCTGGGATGGGTCACAGCAGCCACTGAACTGCTCCTCACCCAGGGAATTGGGGAGAAAAGGAGGGATTGTGGCTGCTCGTTCCAAAACAAGCTTAAATCTACAGCCAGACTGCTCTTTTAAGTGTAATAGTATGTCTTCCTTGGGGGCAACGGGGAGAGGAGAGGCAAACAGAGAATAAAAACCACCCTGGGTTCAAATCCCAGCTGAGATTTCCACCAGCAGCCACCAGAGGAGGAAG